AATTGTCGTTATGTACGTGGCGCTTTATGAGCCAATATTTTTCTGTTATACTGCCTATTATTCCGCCCTCCACAAATTAACTGTGAAAAGCAGTGGCAACAGTGAACACTAGTTAACGAATCCCGTTTCGGGATTTCTTTTCAGGTAATTAGTGCGCATCAGTCCAGCGCGCATCTAATTGAAATTTTTCTTAAGACTATGTTAACAAGGCGTTTTCTCAGCTGGAAGGAAGTTAGGGATGTGATGGAATAATTTCTGAAATTTAAAAGCTAAGAAATTCCTAACAGTATATCTCTTGTACTCACTGCCTTTACAACCAGAGCAAAAGATGACGGGTGAGAGATTTAAATGCATGTGTGTTGCTTTTCAGTGCACGCTCGGATTCTGAAGCGTGAAAAGACGCCTTAAACAGAGGAATAGGTCGTAAGACGAACTGTAATATATACAACATCAACAATGGAAAGTAAGTTCACTCATCTGCTAAACATCATTCAGGAATTATTTTTTCCAGTTTGTGATGCTAGATAAATTGAAAATTAACGACTATTCTAAAGTATGAAACCACTAACGCTTCCCAACACAAATGAAAGTCGCTTCCATGCATTATTCCTCTTAGTCCATGCCTCTCCTGGCGAAAATTCATCTGGCATATCAAAACACTTCTGATCTACTCAACGAGACTTTCGATTACTTTGTTTACAAAGGCCTCAACTTAATTCCATATTTCCCATTTTCACCAAAGTGAATCATCATAATGCTTCTTAAGACATGAACACACTGACCCATACCAGGTGAGAAAATACATCGCGACAGCCTTAATCCTCACTCGATACTAGCTTATCATGAGTTTAACTCAAGCAGTATCGCGAGCTGTTAATTGAAATACATAGTAAAAGTAGGTGATTCAGTCACAACGGTTTACATAACTGGGATACGAAATTCATGGTAGGAACAAACTACACTATGGTCACTGAAATACACTGCCGAAGCAAAACGTCTGTGAAAATGCGTACAGACTATTAGTCAACCTAAGTTGATTCTAATGCAGTCACTCATAGAACAACGGATGTCAACTGCATTCTATCGCTAAGTTAATAATATGCCAGTCACTGGAAAACATTCAACATTGGAGTACACATTTGGAATTATCGCCACACGTCTTCTGTAATCGGTGCATCCGCCGCTTCCACAACATTTACACAAAATATCAGCCCCTGCGATTGTTCGTTGTAGTCTACTACCAGCAGTGAACGAATCACTTTACTATCCTCTGAGTGAGACAGGCTTTCCTGAATATTGTTCACCCACAGCAACTTCAAGTAAATTCCTTCCCATCTTACTAATGTTCATTTTCCTGCAAGGACACCAGTGATCTCTTCTTCGAAACCACGTTGAAGTGCTACAATTACTTCAAGTGACTATCCTCCAGAAGATTAAAGGCCAAGAAACCTTCATCTGACGTCTTCTTAAGTGTTCTGGTATGTAACAGCTTATTCGGCGAATAGCGCATAGTAATGGTCAAATATGGGCACCTAACAGTGCGATACGGAAGAAATATGTATGCAACCCGTTGGGTGTTGCTCATTCGTTCACTCCGCTTGCTCGCCAGTAGTTTTGTGTGTTTGTCGGCCTCTAGTGGTAAATGTCCCTTAATTTGGTGTCGACATCCGACATGTAGTTCTTGGCTCTCTTCTCAAACTGACAAGTTTTAGACAGACGAAGATTGGATGAAACAGCTTCTGATGTATACAAGAGAGCAACACCGAAGTTTGTTAAGCAACTGACATCAGTAAATGTGCTGGGCAGACCACCTATAAACAATGCTGTATCACTGTGTGTTTATGTCAGAAAAAACCACGTTATGATGGAATTCACCAAAGTGAAGTCCACATAATGATAGGACTTCTAACCTAAACGAAGATGTAGATTGAGATTAAATGAAAAAGTCCTTAAGAAGCTAGTGGTATGGTTGCAACTACCACTCCGGATGCTCTCCCATGGGTTTTAAACTTTTCGATTGTTATAGTCCGTCATCCTTATTACACATATTTAGGTGCACACACTCTTGAGCTTTTTCTCGGATTGTACAAAACGTACGTCAGGCCACAACTTTAAGTGCATAATATCATTTCACCCCCACTGTTTAGAAGAGACAAGAACCTCTTGGAAAGAGTCGAAAGACGGGCGCCTAAAGGAGTAGTGGGTCTCCGAAATAAACCGTATGATGAAAAGCTGGAGAAATTAGGCGTATTCACGCTTAGCAACCGTCGGCTTATGGGGACTTAATTGCTGCCTACAAGATAAAAAATGACCAGAATCACCAAAACACAGGTGTTCTACCATTGAGTAGGTATAGTCTTCCTCGTGGATATCCCAGAAGCATAGCTCACCAGAGGGCAGACACTCAAGTGCGCTCCCATTTCTCTTCACTACGGGTTTGCAGTCCCTGGAACTACTTACTGGCAGATATAGCTAAGCACCGTCTAATGACACCTTTAAGCGAAGGCTGAACAATCATGCAGCGACACATGGACTGCGTCCAAATTGCCCATCCCCCTAAAATCCCACAAACCATTCATGGGTAGACATCTAAGTTCGTCGTTTCACTTCTTTACATTCTCTCCCGTCTTACACTCCTGACTACTCCAACTATTACACCCACACTTATTATTAATACGATTATCAGTACTGATATTCTATACATATATATCTTTATATGTATATATATATATATAAAACTTCGAATTTAGTTAGCCGTCTGTTTTTACTATTTCTTTCATTCTTTTTCTGTCTTTTAGTCTGATAACCTACACTAATTATATGTCATAATTATTATCTCTTTTCTGTTATCGACGATACCAGAGGAATGACTGGTGAAAGGATCAACTCCATTCAGAGTAGCAACAAAGTCTTAACACACCACATGCTAAAAAGCACATATAAATAATCTAAGCACCACTCCTTTTGGAGTCAACCAAAGCAACGACAGTGCAATGACAGGACCGACTACGCAGAAGTTCACCGAAGAAATGTAACATTGACCTCACAATCAAGAAGTGAGCACCAAGAAACCGAACTGCCTTACACCAGCTCGTAAAAGCCATATTGGACATTGGATATTGGAATCAGCTGCTCCTTCTCAAGGTCGCGAAATTCTTTAAAAGGATGTAACTAGTATTCGCCTCACTTAACAATCGCAATTCATAATGAAATTACGCCCAGGAGATAAGGAGGGCTACTATGATGCTAACGAGATGGGTGGCCCACCACTAAATCCGGGAGGTGCAAGCAGATATTTTGATGGACAAGGCTACACAGGCAGTCAAGATCCATACACAAATGTAAGTGTATCTAAATACAGTAAACCAAATTATATCGATCAACAATATACTTCTTCTCCTATTGCTTCAATGTATGCAGCAACAGAAACAGCTTCAGCATCCATTGCAAAAATTTTCATATAACACATTAAAAATTCCGAAAATAATATTGAATGTTTAGGGTTCTGGGTACCTGGAAATACAGTGACCAACACTTGGGCATGTGACAACAATCGTGCACTACAAATGTCGCGTTTGAAGAACCGGAAAACATCAGCATCGATTGTGGATATCGTCTATCTGGTATCATTTTGCAATGACCCAATCGCAACGATCATTTGAATCCACCACTGGACAGATAACGTCGATTATGATGTACAAATCAACTTCTGGTCTTCTCACATCATAAGTATAGGGACAGGAGTAGCAGGCAATTGAGTTTCGGTCCAAATTAGTGGTAAATGGTCATACTGCTTGTACTAAACGTTTGGATTGTCTCTATACTTTTTGACCATTAGCCATTTCACTTTCAGGTTATGCGAATAATGAGCCGACACACTAGTATCTGTGAGTAAACGGCCATTGCAATGATCTGCGACTTCTTCCTCCTCTTCTTCTTCTTCCTAGTCACAACCATTGATTGCTGTGCATTTTGAGTGAAGATCTCCAAAAACAAAACATATTTTGTTTCTAGTCGGCTTGCATCAAGAAGACGGTGAAATCATCAATCCGATGCCCATATGGCTTCCTGGAAATCGCCAATTTCATGATATTTCACACTCTGACTCACTTTCAGCGTTCTTTTGAGATTGTAGACCAGTGTGATCGATTCCACTGCGGCATCGTTGACCGTTTTCCGTGGGGTTTACTCATTCAGAAGTGAATCTTAGGATGTGATCACAAACTCAGTGATGATAGAACGCCACATACTGATGTCTGTAATGTGGTTTCATACTTCTGGGAACCCAAATGATAATGAGCAAGTTCAGGTAGTCCAAGTAATCGTAAATGATGGGGACGTTTGCATCTTAAAGTATAAGTAATTTGTTACGAGGTGAAGATGCAGTTGGTTGTCTTTATCAATCGACTTACAGCCAACTGCTGCCGGGTTCGAATTCCGCCCCACCTACTTTGCTCAACTTGGTCGTGTGATATCACAATTCCTAACACAATAAGTGTCGGCTATAGACTGACGTCACATAGGTGAGTTCCAATTACTAACCAATAACCTGTTTGGAGACTGTGAATTGGTGACAAAAGCTGAACTCTCGATTATTCAAACGAATGCGGAGTAAACGTTCCTTGTGGAGTGTTTTGTGATGCAGTGATTTTAGGAAAGAGGGTGCACTTGTGTCAAAGTGTTTCCAACCTGTATGAATTTCGGATTAATGGCATTTGTCACAAGCTATTTATCCGGTAGGTCTTGATATCATTCGTCATGGAAATGACTTAATTTTGCATTCTGGATGCAAACTAGGATATCCGTCTTTCTGGCGCATACTTTCTCTCAGTCACGTACTTGCACAATATCAGGAGGATATAGTGTGCACCTGAACTTACAATTTCCTCATCAAACATGACATGAGGTTCCTGGTTTTCATTGGATTCAATCGACTGATCCGCATAAGTTTCCACAGTATCGAAATAAATGTATGCATTTTTCTAAATATCTCTTTACAGCAGAACTTCCGCAGCGGAACACCAAGAGATATGACGGGATATCCGATGTACGGTCAGGATTATGGCAGTCAGCCACAGCCGATATACAACATGGATATGAATCGCAGGAATAATATGGATGTGAGTCCTGTAAGCTATAACAGTTTTTCACTATTATTTGAGGTGAGGAGTCGAAGTTTCCCAGTTCTTCTTAAATTCACTCGCCTTAGGCACACATTTCGCCTTGCATGTACTGAAGATTGAAAAATGTATTAGTCTCTCCCTTCAGGGAGCAATTGCATCATCCTATCGAGAAAAGAAATGAAAGTATTGAACATCTCTCTCTATCCATTGGATTGACTGGATATAGTTAACCTCTATTTAACTCATGGAAGATTCCCATTTTAACATATTGAAAATCAAAACAAGTGATTCTACGAAGAGACTCTTTTCAAAGAATTTATCATTAAGCTGTTTCATCGGATATATATGGTTTTTAAGAAGATATATCCGATGGACGAATTGAATCACAAGTGTGAATGCATAAAATAATAATAATAGTATGAAATGCCACTTGACATTTAACGATGATTATAATCACAAACACCTTAGTTTTAATGGCATTTCATACTACTATTATTATTATTTTATGCATTCACACCTGTGATTCAATTCCCTCACCAGATATAACTTCTTAAAATCCATATATATACGATTGTACAGCTTGATGATAAATTCGTTGAAAAGAGTCTCTTCGCTGAATCACTTGTTTTGATTTTCTATAATAAACCTTGAATATGAACCTACATTTGATACGCATAGCAGTCAGTTTTCTCATATTTGTAGGTAACAAATACTGCAAGCACTAAGGCTGTTTCTTTACCGAAATCGGCATCGCCATTCATCAGTGGATAAAGCGACATTTTCGTTTGTGACTGACCAAAATGTGCTAGGCTTGGTTATGTGAGAAAGCAGTGTAAGCATGAGTAACGTGGTCAACACTGGCTGTACGTATATATGTGCATGTACATCGTGTGTCTGGCTGAGTAGTTCCATTTGATGCGAAACATCTGTTCATTGACCATCCAGTATGCACGAAGTTTAGCCTGCTTATGGACACAGTCCATGAATCGACGTGACCGAATAAGATGGATCACTGCTCCAGCCATTACTCACATACACTTCACTCCCACATTCTTCTAATTGAGTACAACTATTTGTTATCATATCACTTTGATGTATGCAGTATCTGGATTGGTCATAGATTCGTTTTGGATTGTTTATATTTCACACATTTTACATTCTCAATATGTATGTCTACTATTCTGGTTAACACATCCTAGTTAAGTAGCTCACCAGGTATCTAGCCGTCGCCAAAATATATTAAGACAAAACTTATTCCACTTTGGAATTGGAGAAGCGAAACGACATGGCGTGCTGGTGAAAGCCTTCAGGAATCTAGTCAGCCGGCCGATGTGTCTTCTCGCGATGAAAGCGGGAATAAGAATGGGGACGTAAAATGTCCGTGCAACGTACTAGACTGGGAAGGCTACCCACGTATCCAACTAAATGCGAAGATATGGCATAGAAGTACTGGTTACCTGCGAGAGTAAATTGAATGGGTATGGATTACCAGAATTGTCAACTGGAGAGTCGGTGGTCTACTCAGGTCACCCAGACGACAACCAGGAGCACACTTAGGCATTGAGTAGCTATCATGATTTCACCAGAGGCAGCCAAATACCTAATGCGGTGGGAACCAATTCCATCCAGGATCATGACAGCAAAATTCAACTCAACAAGTAGGAGGGAAGGTTACATTTGTCGAATGCTACGCACAATGCTACAAACAACGCGGAACAAGAGAAGGGCGATTTTTATTAACAACTACAAACAGTAATGGACAATATTCAGAATGATGACATCAAAATCCTTATGGGCGATATGAATTCCAGCTTAACTGGGAGCAGATAATACAGGAACAGAACTCATCATGGGTGGAGAGGCTGTGGGCGGAGAACGCTTCGGAGACTTCTGCGCATCCATTGACTTGGTGAGGCTAAAATTGTTCAGTTCAACTGGAGATAAACCACAATTCAAGTTCAACGTTCAGAAACTCGAGGACAGAACTACAAGAGATACCTTCAAAACAGATCAGAGCAAAGTCGGAGACAATATGTGGCACCACTGAGGAAACCTGTGTGGAATAACATTGGAAATCTCTGAGGGCGATGTTCAAGAAAACGTGTACAACTGTTCTAAGCAGAAGGAAGAGATAAGACAAGAAATGGCTCTCAACGGGTACCCGGAAGCTAATATAAGAGGGAGGGATGGTGAAACAGAAGGTCAACCAGTACTTAGATAGACAAGAGAAGGAGAAACTGAGTTCAATGTACAAGGCACTGAATAAAGAAGTGAAGAAGAGTGCCAAGGAACACAAAATACAACTATTCAACACCCTGTAGACTGAAACAGAACAGGCCACTGGTAAAAGAGACCTGAGAACATTATACCAGATAACCAGGTCTCTGTCCGGGAAGAGATCAACCCAGATGATGAAACCTATAAAAGATGTCCGAGGGAACCTAATTACCAAGGAGGAGAGACAAAGAAAACAATAGGATGACCACTTCAAAGGACTCTTAAATCAACCACCGACTGCAACCCCTCCACAAATACCACCAACAGCACGCACACAACTGCCTACCAGTGAACACCAATCCTCCAACGGAGGCAGAAATCTTGAATGCGATCAAGCTGCCGGGAGGGCAGCACGGCCAGATGGAACTCTCCCAGAAGCACTGAATGCGGACGCAGAGACTGCGGCAGATGTGCTCGCGCCATTATTGCAAATGGTTTGGAAGGAAGGGAGGGTGCCGAACGATTGGAGGGAATGGCTGACTACCTTGTCAAGCCACCAAAGAAGGGTGACTCAGGCCTTTGCAAGAACTGGCGTGGAATAATCCTCTTGTCGACGCCGAGTAAAATACTAAATCGCGTCATCGTGGAGAGAATGAAAGATGCACTGGATGCAGAACTCCGCCAACCCCATCGGAACAAGCTGGATTCAGGAAAGGCAAATCATGTGTTGATCAAATTGCAACTCTAGGCATTGTCATCACAGGACAAAGCATAGAATGGCAGTCAAAACTCTCTGTACCTTAATTTCATCGACTTCGGAAAGGCCTTCGACAGACAGCGTTGACCAAGAAGTAATTTGAAAACTACTTCAACACTAGAGCATGCAGTGCACAAATCTTTCTCAACCTCATTCAACAGCTGGCTATATGACAATGCCACGAGTCAAGTGATCAACAACGGAAAACTCAGCTAGGTGTTCGAGGTGAATACAGGGGTAAGACAAGGCAGCCTGCCTATTATCACCGACGATGATATTCCTAATTGTGGTGGCCTGGATTTTGCGTCAGACTGTGGGGAGGGAGGAGACAGGAATACGTTGGACCGATATGAAGACTGTAGGAGATCTGGATTTCGTAGGTGATTTATGTTTAATGTGACATCGACTCGAAGACTTGTAGAAGAAAACCAACACACTGGCTGGCTGAAGAAGCAGTCAATGGAGACAGGACTCCGGGTGAACATGAAGAAGACGGAGGTGATGAAGATAACCAACGAACCACAACAACAACAACAACCAGCACTAATCCCCATCAACGGGAGAGATTTGGCAGAGGTTACTTCCTTCACTTATCTAGGAAGCACAGTTTCAACCACGGGCGGAACGGATGAAGATGTCAAAGCCAGCCGGAATCGAAAAATGCAAGACACGTCTTCATCAACCTGACGCCAGCTCGGAAATCTTCTGCACTCAGCCAGCATAAATAACAAGATGTGGATTTTCAACACAAATATGAAGTCAGTCAGTTCTTCCATACGAGTCAGAAACTTGCACTGCGTGTCACGAAAGGCATTTCCAACAGTTTACTGGCTTTCCTCAACAGCTGCCTTCGCTCCATTTTGAAGATCGAGTGTCTAGCCGGCCAGAAAGAATTAGCAACAAGAAACTCTTTCTGAGAACAAACCAACCAAGATCCGATTGCTCAATAAATATTTAGGGGAAAATGGAGATGGATCGGGAATACGTTGAGAAGGCCACCAAATGATTTCGTGTGCCAAGATCACGAGTGAAATCCGAATATAAAGAAACAACGAGTGGATCGTCAGTGTGAGGGTGACACGCAGAAGATAGTGTGAGGAGGGGAAAAGAGACTATGGACAATCGAGGACTCAGCGTAAGATGAGAGTAAAAATAGACCAAAGTGATGATATGCTGCTAAGACCTACCTTCCACTAGAAACCCAAGGCAACAATAACAATTAATATTATAGTTACCTTAAAGTACAGTGACCAACACTTGGGCATGTGACAACAATCGTGCACTACAAATGTCGCGTTTGAAGAACCGGAAAACATCAGCATCGATTGTGGATATCGTCTATCTGGTATCATTTTGCAATGACCCAATCGCAACGATCATTTGAATCCACCACTGGACAGATAACGTCGATTATGATGTACAAATCAACTTCTGGTCTTCTCACATCATAAGTATAGGGACAGGAGTAGCAGGCAATTGAGTTTCGGTCCAAATTAGTGGTAAATGGTCATACTGCTTGTACTAAACGTTTGGATTGTCTCTATACTTTTTGACCATTAGCCATTTCACTTTCAGGTTATGCGAATAATGAGCCGACACACTAGTATCTGTGAGTAAACGGCCATTGCAATGATCTGCGACTTCTTCCTCCTCTTCTTCTTCTTCCTAGTCACAACCATTGATTGCTGTGCATTTTGAGTGAAGATCTCCAAAAACAAAACATATTTTGTTTCTAGTCGGCTTGCATCAAGAAGACGGTGAAATCATCAATCCGATGCCCATATGGCTTCCTGGAAATCGCCAATTTCATGATATTTCACACTCTGACTCACTTTCAGCGTTCTTTTGAGATTGTAGACCAGTGTGATCGATTCCACTGTGGCATCGTTGACCGTTTTCCGTGGGGTTTACTCATTCAGAAGTGAATCTTAGGATGTGATCACAAACTCAGTGATGATAGAACGCCACATACTGATGTCTGTAATGTGGTTTCATACTTCTGGGAACCCAAATGATAATGAGCAAGTTCAGGTAGTCCAAGTAATCGTAAATGATGGGGACGTTTGCATCTTAAAGTATAAGTAATTTGTTACGAGGTGAAGATGCAGTTGGTTGTCTTTATCAATCGACTTACAGCCAACTGCTGCCGGGTTCGAATTCCGCCCCACCTACTTTGCTCAACTTGGTCGTGTGATATCACAATTCCTAACACAATAAGTGTCGGCTATAGACTGACGTCACATAGGTGAGTTCCAATTACTAACCAATAACCTGTTTGGAGACTGTGAATTGGTGACAAAAGCTGAACTCTCGATTATTCAAACGAATGCGGAGTAAACGTTCCTTGTGGAGTGTTTTGTGATGCAGTGATTTTAGGAAAGAGGGTGCACTTGTGTCAAAGTGTTTCCAACCTGTATGAATTTCGGATTAATGGCATTTGTCACAAGCTATTTATCCGGTAGGTCTTGATATCATTCGTCATGGAAATGACTTAATTTTGCATTCTGGATGCAAACTAGGATATCCGTCTTTCTGGCGCATACTTTCTCTCAGTCACGTACTTGCACAATATCAGGAGGATATAGTGTGCACCTGAACTTACAATTTCCTCATCAAACATGACATGAGGTTCCTGGTTTTCATTGGATTCAATCGACTGATCCGCATAAGTTTCCACAGTATCGAAATAAATGTATGCATTTTTCTAAATATCTCTTTACAGCAGAACTTCCGCAGCGGAACACCAAGAGATATGACGGGATATCCGATGTACGGTCAGGATTATGGCAGTCAGCCACAGCCGATATACAACATGGATATGAATCGCAGGAATAATATGGATGTGAGTCCTGTAAGCTATAACAGTTTTTCACTATTATTTGAGGTGAGGAGTCGAAGTTTCCCAGTTCTTCTTAAATTCACTCGCCTTAGGCACACATTTCGCCTTGCATGTACTGAAGATTGAAAAATGTATTAGTCTCTCCCTCCAGGGAGCAATTGCATCATCCTATCGAGAGAAGAAATGAAAGTATTGAACACCTCTCTCTATCCACTGGATTGACTGGGTATAATTAACCTTGAATATGAACCTACATTTGATACGCATAGCAGTCAGTTTTCTCATATTTGTAGGTAACAAATACTGCAAGCACTAAGGCTGTTTCTTTACCGAAATCGGCATCGCCATTCATCAGTGGATAAAGCGACATCTTCGTTTGTGACTGACCAAAATGTGCTAGGCTTGGTTATGTGAGAAAGCAGTGTAAGCATGAGTAACGTGGTCAACACTGGCTGTACGTATATATGTACATGTACATCGTGTGTCTGGCTGAGTAGTTCCATTTGATGCGAAACATCTGTTCATTGACCATCCAGTATGCACGAAGTTTAGCCTGCTTATGGACACAGTCCATGAATCGACGTGACCGAATAAGATGGATCACTGCTCCAGCCATTACTCACATACACTTCACTCCCACATTCTTCTAATTGAGTACAAATATCAATGTTATCAGTTGGTTTCAAACAGTCTGGTCGCTCCATTATAAGAATACACACTACACACTATCTGTGAATGCAACCTTTATTGTGGTGAAATGATCTACGATTTTACGTTCTCTGACATTTTCGAGTGGAATTGTAGCTCACTCTTAATTAATTCTACAGCTGACAGTCAGATAAACCTTTAAATTCGATCCACTGTTTGAGTTGTAATTTCTCACAAAATTCGGCGTTTGCTGTTTGCCAGCATTGCATGTGGATTATAGAGCATAATAAATCACCTCGACGTTAGATCGCAGTATTCAATCGAGAGGTGTTAAGAGTACAACAGTTACTTTTTAGTCAAGCACGAATTTGCATAGCAATGGCACTTTTTCTCAATACGCACATGCATAGTCCAACGTGCATCCTCAGTGCCAGTATATTTCTACTTTTGCATTCTAGGGTGGATTTGGTCAAAACATGGGTGATTACGAAGTTCTCACAGGAAATCCTGGGTAAGATATGCCTTTGCTGTTAATTGCTTGTTACTCATACGTCTATTACACACACGTTTAAAGCACTCATGTTTGCTGCATAATAATTTTTACGAATGGAGGAAGACATCATGTGAGGAAGCGTGACCACTCCTTCGGGAAACTGTGTCAAATGGAGACAGTTTGAGGAGTAAAGGCCTGAGTAACTTGTGGTCTTGTGGGAAAACGAGATTAGATGAAAGCAATTAGACTGCTTCACATGGTGAAAAGCAAGATGAAGCGCACAAATAAATTGAAAAGCCGTGACAAAAATTAACTTTAAACAGGCGATTATAAATTACTACCTCTTCCGTCTTCTGCAAAGACTGTCGTACATAAGTGAGGATGATGGGTTGATATCGACCATGTGGAATGACCGAACGATGATGGACTCATAAATAGCACTCGCATTTTGTGTTTTGTTCGGTCCTCCTGATCACACAAAGTTGAAATTTCGTAACAGTAATGTTCGTGGACGGCACGAAAGAATTAGTCAAACCGACTAAAACTGGTAGTTCATCTGCTAGTCTTAGCATTGCTATTTAGCAAATAAAGGTGACATTCGCAATTTTTCTCCGTCAAACTTAACTACACAACCTACATTTGCACTTTGTGATGAAAATTATAAGTGTTTTATTATGATGATGTCTGGCTAATTTAGAAGCAGTATTCAGCGATGAATAATGACTGTTATCTTATGTAATTTAATGTGATACGTTCATATCTGTCTGTATAATTGGCGAATAATGTCATTGAAATATATTCTAGTTGAATCTCTAGTCAAAGTAGCTGGGAACGGTCTGGACCAAACAACCCTTCGTACGGAAACCGATGGCGGAGTTAAACCATTCCCTCTGTCATAAATCCACTTCCTGAAATTAGGGAAAATCATCAATCAAAAAATGATAGCGTGAAGCATTGGTATTAGAATTTCAAAATACAGCATTGAACTAAGTGCTCATTGAAAATAAACCAAAAGTCCTCCTGTCACCAGTTTCAATATATTTACATCCTAATGGTTGCAACAGTTTACCATGTACAGTTTACTACTTCCACTGAATAAACTAACTTAAATACATTTCTTTTGTGTAGCAATAACAGGTTTAACAGAGGCTGGCGCTAGAAATTGCATATCAGTCTTCGCCATTACACCAGTCATTTCGGCTTGACTGTTATTTTCGGTGAGTGATATTCCCATGTTCAACGCTTGTTGTTCGATATATATATATAAATATTTATAAATGTGCATGAAGTAGACAATTTATACCGTGATCAGTTTCAAACCATAAGCACGAAGATTCAACCCCGTTGGCAACCTTAGATTTGTTAATTTCAGTCATTGTTCCATTATCGAAGAACAGCATGATGACTAACATTCCTTTCATCAAGTTCATTAACTGCGTTGTTTGTTACAAGAGTTGAAGTGGAGTACAGTGTTGTTGTAAAGCATTGCGTCTAGGGCTTTGAAATCCCTCGTATGCCATCACTCCTAGTCTCCTAATGTGAAGATGTGACTTTATTAATCATAAAATACCGTCTGTGAAAGATGAATTGACTGGTTTGGTCAGAATACCTGAGTGCAGTACACTTCATGTGCGACTCCATATCATCCTACTATGTTTCAGTTGAATCTAAACAACTATTCACCCTCCTACTTATTTAGTTATTGAAAGTAAGTTATTCAGTAAATTGTGCCTGTCTTAGATCATTCTGTTCTGATTGTGAATGAATGAAATTAGTGTATAGGGCTGAGTGTAGTGGTGAGATTGTAGAGGGATTGAATACAAACTAATTTGCCCTGACTCAACCTGTAGGCGAGATCAAATTATTCAATTTCTAGCCTCTTCAAGTAGTGCACCTCATGCCGATAGTTTAAAATTGTCTAGCTTGTATCTTTGTACAAGGCCTTTTGTTTCCATTTGTAGAAATTGTAGAAACACCAATGATTCTGGAATTCAGAAGAGGTGTGGTCTTTCAAAGTGGTGTCAGACCAGAGGATTTAGTCTGAATTTCTTCAAATATTTATGCCGGATTACACGACAACAGAGTTGAAGGACTACTTTCAGTTGGCGATAATCACTGTTAATGGGCGTCTGTGTGTCCTATCACGTAGTGTCACTCAATGAATTATAAAGTAGCACTGTGAAGAGAAAGCGAATATTAGCAACTTTATTGTATTTCTGTGTATGTTCACATTCTAGGAAGAGACGGATGGCAAATACTTTTTCATTACATACTGATAAGAGTATATTTTCTTTACTTTTGCTTAAAGGTTTTCTAACGGCGAAGCAAACATTGTTTTCTCCATAAAAATTTCGGATGTCTGGTGTTCCGTGTAAATGGCTTGAAGTGAAAGTGGAAACAATACTGTGTACAGGTCACAGTGCACAGCTTATATCTTCTGTACATTTAAAAGCACTAATGTCATTATTTTTGTAAAATACATATTTTCCGTGCATAAAATCCCTTCGATACTTTAAATTATCCGAACTACTTATGTATCATGTGAACGGCGAAATGAAAGTAAAGCGTGTGGTCATCTGTTACCAAGTTAATCATCATACTTCCCGTTGAAGTTGAAGAACTTGGTTATGATGTTTACAATAAAGAAGCATTTCACTGTGAAATGACTTTGCCTTCGATATAGACTGAATGAAAATCGGATCTTCACAGTTGGTCAGCTGGTGTTAACACACACCTTTCTGCAATACAACGTTGGATTTGTCTTGAAATGCTTATTCTCAACTCACAGTTCAATAAGTTGACTGAAAATTGTTCTACCGGATTGGTTTCGAAAGTCGCTTCGTATAGCTTCTATCAAGGTAGTAGTGTAATTTCTTGTTTTGTCAGTCTAATATCTGCAAGTGTGTGTTGTTTGCACCCCACAATCAATTATAATCACGCGAAGATTTCATTAAAATCTCATAAACATAAGAAATTACAAAAGGAACATGCAGTGATTCACTCGACAGAATTCGGGAAATAATGTACAAGGTGAATTAACATTCACAAGAAGTTGCTAGTAAGCGCAATTTATAGACCAGTCGAGTGGTCATGAAATTGGAAACATTGCAATGATGATCATTGAATAATGGGAAACATAGAAATATGGAAGAATTTAGTGGAAAAGGGAACAGCGTATTTGAAGTAATATGAAGCTTGGTTGTGTGACTTCTTCTTATGAGAGATGACGATGGAAGAGCAGGGGAATCTAAAAGTTGTTTTTCCACGCAGTTTAAGGTTCATCAGTTCGATGGTGCCAAACTTAACCAGTATCCACCAGATGGGATCGAATAGTGCTCATAGGTTTATTTGATTACTATCATATGCGAGAGTGAGCATTACCAACAAATTAATTCGTTCAATCATGGAATAAAAGTGGCATTCAAGCCCACAAACTCAATTAGAAACAAGCTTTGTCGGTTGAAGGATCCTGTGAAGCCTTTAAAACAAAACAATTTAGTTTATCTTATACCCTGCTGGAATGATTGTCAGGTCAAAGTAGTAGAACAGAGGCAGTCAGACTAGCCGAACACAAAAACCTAGCAAAATCTAGATTGGTTGACCCGAATAAGATAAGAAATCTAGAAAATAGTTCAGCTATGGCAATACATGCAGTTATACACAACCATACAATAGGATGGGATAGGATGACAGTTTTAAAATCTAATGTCACAGGGTTGAGGGAGAGACTGATAACAGAAGCTTTGTTTATCGAATCGACTGCAAATATATGTAATTGGAATGATTCAACACCTGTCCCAGATATTTGGAAAATTCTACTACCCCAAGGACAAATAGGAGAAGACAAGGAAAACTATAAAACTGAAGTTTCAAAGCCGTGTGATTACAATTGATATGATTATGAACAATAAATTTTGTTCGAAACGTCATCCAGTAAATAATACTGTTCGACTGTGTGATAGATCTAATAAACCAGCTCATATGGAATTACTTACTACCACAGTGCCTAAATTTTGCCCATATGTTAACAATCATGGTTTTCCTATGAAATTACGTTGACATACACCCTATCTGAAGGTATTGTTGGTTCTGGTAATCCTCGATTGAACAACGTGTCCAGCGTCCCATGCTGGTTATTCAAACATGCATGTGCCTAACCAGGTGTCTTTGCTTACGCAGTAAAACAAAGCCATGCTGACTACTCTACGATCGTTTGTGGTGAAAATCTTAGAGGAATAATTCTATATGTCGACTATTTAGGTGGAGGTGGTGCTGAAGACGTTGTCCAAGTGGTTAGAACAACACCAAATAGTTAGAAGGACTTCTTGCAGAGCAACTTTACATTAATGTTTCATGCACATGTAGGCATTTCGGTTTTGAAAATCACTCGGCAAAGTTATTTAGTAACTCGTCTCAGTTGAGATAACTATCACAAAGAACAAACAAAGCATCCTATATCCACAAAAAGTGCCCACTCATCTGTTATATACAGTCACAAGAAATAACTTTTCAATTGTGGGGAAAATATGACTACAGTTGTTGGTCCTACTGTTGGGCTCCCTGTCATTCTTTCCACCCACCTATATCAACCATTCCTGACAGGAAACTGGACCTGGGTATGCACGGTAATAAGAGTTCTCTCTAGCCGTCAACGACACAACAATGTTCTCTGTGCTTCACTTCACAGCAGGAATCAATTGAATATTTCTAATAAGGGCTCTTTTGTGATGAGTATCTTGACGCCGACATGCAGTGTTTTCTCAATCAGTACATCATAAGTCTTGAATAAATCGATCAATTCTCTCAAAATATGTTTGCAAGATATGTTTCCACTAGTTCCAGTAAGTCCGCAAATTAATTTGCCAAAACGTGGTATGTTGAGTTGTACATGTATGGCCTTGCTGACTCACATTATACATTAATCACAAACATTTCTACTAGGTAATCTATTGTAGGTTTCTCTAGTAATTTAACTTCATAACTGCTGAATGTGTGGCTACTGGTCAATCTCAAGATTCGTGCAGTCGCTGAGCATATTCACGTTACTTTTATAAAACAATGTATATCATTGGTAGACACACACGATTTATCACCGTGATTACCCGTTCTTTCAAATTCTTCGACTGGACTCCGACAAGCCCTGGGTTGTGTTGATTAAAGTGAATCCTCTTTAACAGCAAAAAGATGAATCATCCGAATCAAATATTCCACTGGAAATTGAGCATAATGCTATTCAATGTGACCAGCAGAACAGAAGCCATCAGGAGTCTATACGAAATATCAAGAGATGAGCATATGGTGTAGGCAACAATGAGATTGGCTCTAAATTAAGCCGGTCATATTAGACCTGAAATTATTGATCTGTAGAAGAATAAAGTCAAGCGTCAGTATTTGGCTTTCGGGGCCTTCGCCGACAGCTTACAACAGTTGTCTTCCGATTATGTGTGCATAGTATCAATCAGACAAGATAAAGAAGTAAAAGTCCATCCAACAAACGTCTAATTACAAGAGTTACAGGTACATGATCAAAATCAAATTCACGTTCACTAATACTTTATGTTTTAAAGAATACTTCGTCATAAAATGAGATGACTTCAATAACCATTCAAAAGCAGCAGGCATACGACACTGTTCCCTCCATGTATGCGAACCCTCACCAATACCTACCTGACACCTGGTCAGGTATCAAAACCAAGACGGGCAGATTAAAGCTTTCAGTTTCAATAATTAGGTGTGAGATAATCCATTTATTCAAATAAAACGAACCAAATAATATTAGTAATTTCGAAATCCCAGCAATTATTGCAAACAAGGATAATTGGAACGAACAACTGTTTTCAATAATTGTTTTCCTCTTCAGGCTTTACAGTTAAAAATCCGTTAATTTTAGCATATAATAGGCAGTAAAAGCAAATAGGGATCATATTAAAAAGTGTATTGCGGTATAAATACAAGGCGGAATAGTATTCAGTGAGTTCCGACTATCATTTAAGTGAGTATAAGAGGAACTACTGGTGAAGTGGACGATGAATTTCCAGTTTGTATTGAAAATCGGAAACATTTCTTTCCCATGGTAAATTTGAAACAAGCAACAACTGTGGAAAAAGCAGTATTCAATGAGAGTTCACAACTGCTCAGTCAATCACACAGCACTTATTGGACTGTGATCACACGGTATTGTGATGTTGAGCTAAAGCTTTATAGTAACTATTAGGCAAGGTAAGGAAAAGCTCTTGGTTTTCCTGAAGCCTGTGCAATCGGATTAAAGAAGCCGGATCTATGCATTCAAAATGAGACAATAGTTAGCTTAACTCTACCCTGGTAGCATATTTTTAACTTACCTTCATAATTTCCCTTCTCTTCCCTCTTCTCCTTACAATTTCTTTCCCATTGTTATTAATAATAATAATAATGATTTACTTTATTCCAAAAACAGTACTTGTGATACAGAATGGAATTTTCGGCAATAATCACAATGTTGCATCTAATTTCCTCAAATTATAAATAAAATTATTCACACAGAAAATTTTTCTACATTTGCAATAGGGTTAATATGAAGAAAAATGGAAAACATGCAGCATTTAAATGGAAATAATAGTAATGATAGCAGCTAAGGTAATGATAATAATACAAGTGGAAATTGCCGTGGGCTTGTTTCACACAGTATTGCCGATGCGGTATACAAATCCTTGCATGTTTAAAAATATTGAATATAATGTTCGCTTTACATGATATGGTGAGGGAAAAAACAAAGATTACAGCAGTCATAGAGATAAGTTGGTGTTTGCAGTTATGAAAGTGAAAACAAAGAATCAACAGGACCACAAATATAATAGAAATAATAAAAGTAAAACTTGAAGGTATATAAAGATGGATGGAGGAGATTGTTTATTTACTAGATGAAAAAAGGTTAGTCAATTCTTGCCTGACGCTATTTTCATCACATAAAATACGTGCCAAGTATGGTATCATAGAATTTTTTTACTTAGACGTGCGAGCATACAGTTTTCTAAAGTTGCTTGTTGTTCTACCTGAGGAGATGCAAGGTGAAAGCTGAGGGTGAAGTGGATGCTCCGAGTCAGACAAAATCCCTTTAGCAAATTTACTGCACGAAGTCAAATGCTTATCGACAACGACGTTAACTATGTAGTCCACTGGGACACCACTCATCCTACTGACAGTCTTCAGCATTCTACGAATTGTGACAAAGTCCTTTTTAAGCAAACCAGGAAAGAATAAGGGTGAACAATAAAGAAGAATAGGTAGGATGCAATAGTTTATGAACTGTAAGAGGAGGGGTTGAGTTATACCTGAGTGCCTTAAGTTCTTAATGTAAAATGTCAGGC